GAGGAGCTTGAAATATGGGGAGCAGGAGCTCGCTGCCGCGGCAGCGCATCACATACCTGGCTCTGCGGGCATCTGACAAAAAAGCAGCTGCACGGCTCCCTATGGGAGCGGGTCCCGGGGCGCTGCACGGGTGCAGGTGAGGGGTCCCAGGGCTCCGCGTGGGCACAGGTTGGAGCTCCTGGAGGGTGGTTTGCTTGGGAACGAGCAAAAGTTACTGCCCTGGGTAACGCTGGAGCACAAAAGCTGCCTCCTCTCTTGAGCATCCCCGCTCCGGAGGGCAGCCGGGCTGTCGGGCAGTGGGGCTGGAGCCCAGGAGCACCCCAGGTTTGGTTTCCAGCCTGTGCCTGGCACCCGGAGCTCCCGTTAACCCTCCTGCAGCGTGGAGATGCTTCCCCACGCTGAGCCTTGGTTTGTCCCTCTGCAACGCGGGAATACACAGGAGCAGGGAAGTTAATGTCACCAGAGGGGTGATGGGGCGGGCAGGGGATGCTGGCAGCAAAGGGGAAGCGTTCCTGCCAGCCCGACGAGCAACCCTGAGCTTTATTCATTAAATCAATCCTGTTAACATGGCAACCACTTCCATTCCAATTTGCACAGCCACATTCCACCATGTGCTGCAATATCAAGATCTCAGGAAGATCAAAGGAGGGAGGGGGGAAAAAAAAAAAAAAAAAGAGAAAAGAGCCACTTCTGCCACAGCCCTGCTCCCTGGCAGACCCAGAGCCTGGCCCAGGGCAGGGTCTCGGCACTTTCGAGCCCAGCACGACCAGAGCCGGGCTGGGAGGGGACGAGGGATTGGGCAGGGGGTCCAGGACCCAGGACCACAGGGGCTGGGGCATCTCAGCTGGGTACGTCCACAGCATCCTCCTCCCTCGGGCATCACCATCCTGCCGGGAAGGAAACCACTCCTGTGCCAGAAAAGCAAGCAGGTCCCAGGGGACCACGGGGACCCCACCCCAACACCTCCTGCCTTAGCATCTCTTTCCCCCTTTCTTCTTTTTCTCCTCGCTCTTCGCCTCCTTGGCCGCTTTCTTCTCCTCCTTCAGCTCCTTGTACCTCCACTTGGGCGGCTGCAGCAGGTTCTTGTTTCCCCCGCGCTGC